TGCCGGCTAGCATCCACACCAGACTCCCTCACGTGTGCTGCCACCCAGATGCTCTCAGTCTTGCCAGCTGCTCAGGGACCAAGACCTGGCTTCTTTGCTGCACTCTCTGGTTCAGCGCCAGCAGTGGCTGTCCTGGGTCCATGAGCTTACTTCCCTGTCCTTAACCGCCAGATCCCACCAATTTCCCCTTAAGATCTTTTGTTCTTTTAGCATGCTTTCAACCAGACTCCAAGTTAATGCTGGTCCCCAATCACAGGGCACTCTTGTATGGGTCACTTCTGGTGGCTCCCTCCCCCTTTTGCTTATCTTCCAATATCAGTTCAATGTTCCCACTCTGCTTTACCTGTCCACTAGTGTCTTCTGCCCCCGTAGAGATCCAGAAGTGTATCATTCTAATCTCAGGCTGATTTCATGGGTGATCAGAGTTCTCTCAGCTCACTTTAGGGGACCGGTTGAAACAGTGCCTCCTACTTCTCCACCATCTTATCTCCCCTCCTGCTAATTTAACAGTTTTACCAATCTTGTTTAGGGTCCTTTTGCCTAAGTATGCTGTCAACTAAAATAAGTGATGTGAGTATGGTGTCCACACAATGACCCCAAGCACCAGGATCATTCTCCTCTAGCTTTGGCTTCATGATGCCCCTGTACCTTATCTCCAGTGTGCACTTTAGATGCTGGTTCATGGCTTTTGCACTGGGCTCTGTGATATGTGGTATTGAGTGAAGCTGAATGTTTTTATGGATTTGGGGGCGTCCATCAGAATATCTGTAATTAATTGTCACCTAGGGAAGGGATTAAGCAAGTGTATGTGACTTTATGTCTTGTGCATGTAAATATGGTTTTCCTATTATAAGCAACCATTCTATTTACAGAAGAAGGAAGTAAGGCCAAATCATAATTCCAGAGAGGGTCCCTGGGGAAACTGATATATGGAATGAAAGTCCCAAATTGTTACAGGACACATGTGTTCAACCTGCTCCTGCACCTGCTTCTGGTGTGGAAAGTGTAATGTTGGGTCTTGAGTAGCCTTTTGGTATTCTGAGAACCAGTTCCTGTCTTTAAAGTCCCCTGGTGATCTGATTGTCTATTCATATCTTCTGCTTATTTCTTAAGTGGATTATTTGGGTTTTGGGTGTTGTCTGGTAAATTATTTAAAGATTTTATCAGATATGTTGTTTGCAAACATCTTCTCCTATTCCTCACTCATATGTGGAATTTATGAAAGAAAACAGATGAACATATGGGAAGTGGGAAAAGGAAAAAAAGGAGGGAGGGAAACAAGCTATGGGTGACTCTTAATAAAATGATCATGGTCCCCGGTCTGGCTATACTGCCTTCTCTCTCCAAACCTTCTCATGTAGGCTCATGGGGAAAGTCTTACAATTACTTCAGAGAAGAAGGAAAATGTTGAGAGTAGCCACCTTTGTTTCTGCATAATTTACAGACGCTGGTTAAATGTGGAACTCACTAGACTTACCATGTTCTCTACCACCCTGAAGCACCTGGTTTTATATGAGAGAATTCCCTGATGAAGTCAGGATTACAGCACTAACTCAGTGACAATATCTTGCAAATCTGAGGCAAAGTTGAGATCCTTCTAGAATGAAGATGCTGGTTATCCTGCCAGGTGAGGGCCTGGGACAGCCTGAAGATTTGGCTGACAACAAAGAGAATTAATCATTACAAGAATATGAAAGCAGCTATAAATCCCAGTTTTCATTCTTTTCTAGTTACAGATGAGGACCTTAGCTATCATGGATATTTCCTCTTTATTATTATTTTTTCTGTAAATATGTGTATCTTTGTCTTGTTCCCTTTTTTCTTTGCCATATAACAAAAGATATATTGACTTTATACCATTGCATTTAAGAAATATTCATTTTCCATCATAATATTTCAGTTGAAAGTTATCAAGGAGAAGAGTAAACACCACTTAAGATTTTCACCCCCTCTTCAGGGAAGGGTTTATAGAGTTCTTGGTTGTATGCAGGATACTTGTATCATATGTGGTGAAGCTATAACTGTATTATTATTTTTTATTTGTGAAATGAGTGAGATTAAGGCAATGAATATGGATGCCTGGTTTACAGAAGTTGATGAGTGGTGGTTAACTTTATATGTCAGATGACAGGACATGGGTGCCCAGATTAGACATTGTTTCTCTGGGACTTTGTGAGGCTGTTTCTAGGAGACAGTGATGATTTTATCCGTGGTCTCTGTGTACGTGGGGATCATCCAATCCATTAAGGTTCTGAATAGAATAAAAGGCTGAGGGAGGAGGAATTCCATGTTTACTTCCGTGTGCATGCTTGAGCAGGGACACTGGTCACCTCCTGCCCTTGGATGTAGTTACACCTTCAGGTCCCCAGGATCTCCAATTAGACCCCACTGAGAATCTGATGAGACTTTCATCCCTGGCCATCCTGGGTCTCCACCTTGTGATAGTAGATCATGGGACTTCTCAGACTCTCCAGTGATCTATGCTAATGAGCTATGGGTCCTGTTCCTCAGGAGAACGATGACTTATACATGGAGATTCTAGAATATCCTTGTGGTGTGCTGTAACTGACAAACTGTGTCAGACATATGAAGGCCTAACAAAATTCTATGAATGAAATGTCATGCTGTGTGTTTGGGACAAGAGCTGGGTGAGGATAATGAGGAGTGAAGAGATGATGAAGAAATCACCAGATCTAAGAAGGGAGAGAACCCTGGTCCTTGGACACCAATGGGAGAAACCTGCTTCTGTTCATCCTGGGGGCGATTCTTAGAGCCTTACAGAAGCAGGAGTGCAGATGAGAATCTTAGGGAGATGTCATCTTTTCAAAAGAAAGAGCAATAAATATTTTGAGAAAGGAACTGTCTAATAAAATGAGTACATTTTAAGTGAAAAATTAAAATTAATTCATGTATAATATATTTATACATTGAAGTCAGTTATGGATAATCTCAAATACTGATACTTTGCCCATCAATAAATTTTATTATTTAGGAATTATTTATAGAAGTATTTTATTGAAATATTTAATAGTATTATTAATAGTATTAAAATATTTAATACTAAGATTTTGTTTTATTTTTTTTTTAAATTTATGTTATGTTAGTCACCACAGAAAACATCATTAGTTTTTGATGTAGCATTCCATGATTCATTGTTTGCATATAACACCCAGTGCTCATTAAAACAGATGCCCTCCTTAATACCCATCACCGGGCTAACCCATTTCCTGACCTCTCTCCCTTCTGAAACCCTCACATTATTTCCTAGAGTCCAGAGTCTCTGATAGTTTTTCTCCTTCTCTGATGCTCCCTCTTCAGTTTTCCTTTCCTTCCCCTAATGTCGTCTGTGCTATTCCTTATGTTCTACAAATAAGTGAAACTATATGATAATTTTCTTTCTCTGGGTGGTTTACTTCACTTAGCATAGTCTCCTCCAGTTCCAGCCATGTCAATGCAAATGGTAGCTATTCATGATTTTGGATGGCTGAGTCATATTCCATTGTATTATGGACCACATCCTCTTTATTTTTTTTAAGTGTTTAATAAGTAGGTTACCCTATAGATTTTTGTATCTATGCATTTATTTATAGTCATATATTAAAATCTGATAGCTTTGTAGATACAATTATCAATAAATATTCATAAAATATGGAAATATAAGATGAAATATAAATTATTATTTCTTCAGAATATGTTTTTCGTCTTTTATTTCCAGAGAAGATTTAAATTATATTTTATTTAAAAATTATTTCAACTTAAAGCCTAATTATTATAACACATGATATTAATAAAAATCACATCCTGTAAAAATCCAGATCCCCAAACACAGTACATATTTTTTTTAAAGATTTTATTTATTTATTTGTCAGAGAGAGAGAGAGAGAGATAGCGAGCACAGGCAGACAGAGTGGCAGGCAGAGGCAGAGGGAGAAGCAGGCTCCCCACAGAACAAGGAGCCCGATGTGGGACTTGATCCCAGGACGCTGGGATCATGACCTGAGCCGAAGGCAGCTGCTTAACCAACTGAGCTACCCAGGCGTCCCCCCAGTACATATTTTTATACCTGAGAAGAAAACCGATTCATCTTAGGCACCTGCAACTGGACCTATCCTGTATTTGGTGGATCCGCTGCACCCGCTGTTATCCTGAGTGTCCCCTAGTGACCCAAGTGCCCCCTTTGCGTGCATGCAGCCCAGCCCCTCCTGTGTCCCTGCAGAGAGTTTTGGTCTGGGCTCACGCTGACATTCTCTCACTATGTCTTTACATTGTAATATAAGGCCAGGATCTTGGCGACACTGAGATCAGTCAGTTCAAGAACTGGTTCTTGGACGTGACTCTGGAGATGCACATGTGGATCTTGTTGGATGGGCTGTCATGTTTGCTTTATCTGTAGTTTATGAACCAATTCACTGCACCCAGTCACTCAGGGTTGGTGGATTCAATTCCACCAGAAATTACCGTTTGAGATGGAGAATCCAGAGATGGTGATGGTGAGGTGCAGGTTCTGTGAGCCTCTCACCAGGCTTGGTCCGGACTCCTGCAGCAGCACCTGGGACAGGACACCTGGGGACAGGAGTCAGAGGCCTTTATAATCACGATGCTCCCAATCATCTGCACTGTCCTATGTCTAACATCTGAGACACTTACTTTTGGGAACTATCACCAGACACACAGATGGCCCCAGAATCTCATACTCTTCCAGACCATAGCTCATGCTTCCCTCAGAGATGTGAGCCCTGTCTGAGGAGAGAACAGTGAGCTTCCACTGCCTGGGAGCGCATTGTACCCTGGTTGTTGAGAAGTAAACATGTGGGAGGGAGCACATCCTTAGAAGTGGGCGGGATAATCAGGCCCCCTGGGACCTTCCAGGACCACCTGTGGGCATCACTTTGTTGAACTCACAAAGCATGTTGGTCTGGGTTGGGAGAATATTTGTTCTATGAGATGTGTTGGAAGTAGGTAAGTAGACCACCTCCCCCTTCTCTGCATGAGAATGAATATTGAACAAATGAGAGGGTAACAATTTATTTTTTTTTCTTTTTTGCATTTTCTTTTTCTTTAAATTTAATTTAATTTTGTCATATTCATTATTTATGCACTACACCCAGTGCTCCATGCAATACGTGCCCTCCATAATACCCACCAGCAGGCTCACTCACCTCCCTCCCTCCTCCCCTCCAAAACCCTCAGATTGTTTCTCAGAGTCCACAGTCTCTCATGCTTCATCTCCTCCTCCGACTTTCCCCAATTCACTTTTCCTGTCCTTCTCCTAATGTCCTCCATGTTTTTTTTTATGCTTCATAAGTAAGTGAAACCAATGATAATTGACTTTCTCTGCTTGACTTATTTCACTCAGCATAATCTCCTCCAGTCCAAACCATGTTGATACAAAAGTTGTATATTCATCCTTTGCTTTTTTAAAGATTTTTAAAATTTATTGGACAGAGAGAGACACAGCAAGAGAGGGAACACAAGCAGGGGGATTTGGAGAGGGAGAAGCAGGCTTCCCACAGAGCAGGGAGCCTGACATAGGGCTGGATGCCAAGACCCTGGGATCATGACCCAAGCTGAAGACAGGTGCTTAATGCTTGAGTCATCCAGGAGGCCCAAGTGTTCATCCTTTCTGATGGAGGCATAGTATTTGATTCTATATATGAACCATATCTTCTTTATCCATTCATCTGTTGAAGGGCATCTTGGCTCTTTCCACAGTTTGGCAGTTGTGGACATTGCTGCTATAAACATTGGGGTACAGATGGCCCTTCTTTTCACTACATATGTATCTTTGGGGTAAATACCCAGTAGTGCAATGGCAGGGTCATAGGGAAGCTCTATTTTTAATTTCTTGAGGAATCTCCACACTGTTCTCCAAAGTGGCTGCACCAACTTGCATTCCCACCAACAGTGTAAGAGCGTTCCCCTTTCTCCTCAACCCCTCCAACACTTGTTTACTGTTTGTTAATTTTGGCCATTCTAACCGGTGTAAGGTGGTATCTCAATGTGGTTTTAATTTGAATCTCCCTGATGGCCAATGATGATGAACATTTTTTCATGTTTCTGATAGCCATTTGTATGTCTACATTGGAGAAGTGTCCATGTCTTCTGACCATTTTTTGATGTGATTATCTGTTTTGTGTGTGTTGAGTTTGAGGAGTTCTCTATAGATCTTGGATATCAGCCCTTTGTACTGTCATTTGCGAATATTTTCTCCCATTCTGTGGGTTGCCTTTTTGTTTTGTTGACTGTTTCCTTTGCTGTGCAGAAGCTTTTGATCTTGATGAAGTCCCAAAAGTTCATTTTCACTTTTGTATCCTTTGCCTTTGGAGACATATCTTGAAAGAAGTTGTTGTGGCTGATGTCGAAGAGGTTACAGCCTATGTTCTCCTGTAGGATTCTGATGGGTTCCTGCCTCACCTTGAGGCATTCATAACACTTTTAAATTCAGCATGATTAGATCTCATTTCTGCCCTTGGATATTCTGTATTGTTGCTAATGCTTTTTTCAAGCCTAGCTATTGACTTCATGATTGCTATCTTGAAGTCTGTGTCTGGCATCTTGCTTATATCCAAATCCATTAGTTCTGTGGCAGAGGACATTGCTTCTGGTTCCTTTTTCTTTGGGATTTCCTCCTCCTTGTCATGCTGTCAATGAATGGTTGAATGAATGGATCGAGTCCAAAATATCAACCATGACCCAAGCAANGTTGAATGAATGGATCGAGTCCAAAATATCAACCATGACCCAAGCAAGATGCACCCTAGCAAAATCCAGAGTGGTCAGAAGCCACCATTGAAAAAACAAAGGCAAACTAAATACAAGAATGAAATAAAAAAATTGAAAAAAAATTTAAAATCATATATAAAAATATATAGAGTAGAAAATAAAAAAGGGGGAAGGTATAGAGGGGCTGTATTCTTTCATTGTGGACAAACAGAAACAAATAGAGTGATTCACTTGTTCCTGGGTGAATTTTGGCCTGTGTGTTAGAGGACACTATATCCCCCAAACACTAGGAAACTAAAACATGTGTATATAAAAAGGTAAAACTGCGTAGAGTGAAAAACTGGCTAAAATAAAGTGTCTACCTACAAAAAATAGGTTTGTAGAAATACAAGTTAAAAAGGACCTATGAAGAAGTGAGTTGGTGTAATAGACATCTTGCCAAACTCAGCCACTTTCTGCTTGTAGGGATCCATGTATATATTCTTACATCTCAGGTTATTTCATGGGTGTTCAAAATGGTTTTATAGATACACAGCTAAATGCAAGGGACCTGCTTCAACTGGGTCCCCTAAACCTCTGCCATCTTGCCTTGATGCACTTCTTCCTGACTGATCGTTGGTCTGTATGTTAGAAGATACTACATATGAAAATTGTAAGGCAACCAGAACTTATTTTATATATACATATATATGTATATATACATATATATAAATAAAATTATCATATTTATAATAATATATAATATATATATTTCCCTCTAATATACATGTATATTTGAGGGAAAACTGAATAGAGAGAAAAATTGAATAGTGGGAAAAATGAGCTCATATGGAGCATGAATTTATAAAATGTACATGTGAAAAGATGTTAAAAAGCAATTAAAAGCTTAATTTAGGAAATGAGAATCTACTTGAAATGGGAACAGGGTAAAAAAAGAAAAAAGCAAGGAAAAGAAAAGAAAGAAAAAAGAAATGTAAAATTTTATCCTGAGTATAAGCAAGTCGTGAGGGAACACTTGGAGCTCCCTATGTAATTTTCCCCCGGTGCTGGAGTTTCACGTTCCTGTGGGAAGTAACCTTATCCTTCACCTGTTCTTCCAGTCTGTCTTCTGGGGGAGGGGCCTGCTGCTTGGCTTCTCAGCCATCTTTGCCCGGGTGGAGTTGCCTCACCCTTGTCAGGGTCATTGGCTGAATGTGAGCCTGGTGGCTTTCTGCTCCTCCTCGTAGGGTCAGAGCAAACATGGTCCTGTGGGAATCTCCAGCCTAGAGCCGCAATGTGGTGGCCCAGACCCCTACCACCACCTCAGGTCAATCCATCTCCCCTTCTATGTGTACCAAAATCCACAGACTTGCCTTATTGATGCCCACTGCAACTCTCTGGGGAAAGTTCCAGGGACCCTTGAGTGTCTCCGTGCTTTCTGACTTTGCAGTCATCAGCGGGTGTGGCCTCATGAGTGTATCCTCCTCCGCACCTCCCAGGTCATGCTGGGTGCTGACCCAGTGTCCTGTCAGGGGTCACATCGCTCTAAGAGCTGTTGCCCAGTTGTGGATATAGCCACTTTGTGCACCAAGCCATGGGCTCACACATGCACCCTCTTGAGTGGCTCCCAGTTCACGGCCAGGTGACACTCCAGTCTCCTTTTCTGGGCCATACCGCCCTGAGAGCTGTTGCCCTGTTTTGGTCATTTATCATTTTATACCTCCCCTGGGATGTTAGTTTGAACACAAATTTTGAATATAATTTCAGGATTTGGATTGGGAAATGTTTCTCCTAGAATTCTAGCTTTAATTACTTTTTTTTCCTCACATTATCTCCTTAAGTTCCTTTTTAAAATTATGTTCAGTTAGCCACCATATAGTACATCACTAGTTTTTGATGTCGTTCAACAATTCATTATCTGCGTGTAACACCCAGTGCTCAGCCATCATGTGTCCTCATTGCCCATCACCAAGTTTTCCCATCCAGCCCCTCCTATCCCTCCAAAACCGTATTTGTTTCACAGAGAAACATATTGATTTCTGATATTATTTATTTCGGGTTTTCTCTTTACCTTTTGATAAATCTAGGCAGAGGTATCTCAATTTTATTTTATTTTTCTTTTTTTCCAAAAAACTAGACCTTGCTTTTTTGTTCTGTTTTGTGTTTTGTTTTGTTTTTATATCATTTATTACTGCTCTAATCTTTACTATTTCCTTCCTTCTCCCGTATTTAGGCTTTAGTCATTGTACCTTCTCTAGCTCCTTCAGGTGTAACGTTAGAGTGTTTCTTTCAGATTTTTCTTGCTTCTTGAGGTCTTCCTGTATGTTGTGTATTTTTGTCTTAGGACCACCTTTGCTGCAGAGAAATTAGGGGAAAGTGAAAAAGGTTTCATACTTGTGTGTGTGCATGTGTGTGTGTGTATGTGTGTGCGTTTATGCATGTGTGTGTGTAATGTCCAGACTACACATCACACCTGGAGGGGGTTCCACTGCTTTCCCATGTTGTCACTAACATTGATGCTGTAAGCACTGTTTAAGACAGTGACTCCCCAACCAAGACTCTTCCTTCTTTTACTTTGGATTGTTGATGCCTCTGTGGCCTCATGTCCAGCATGCACTTTATGCTGCTTGTAGCGAGTTTGCACGTGGAGCAGGGTGGACGTGTGATGCACAGTGAGAGCAGCTGGGAGTCCTGTAAACGCTCACCTGATGAGAACCAGGATATTTGTGTTTCATTGGTATTTAGGGACAGCAATAAACAACGTGAATGACTCTGTATTTTGTGCATTTTAGTATAATTGTTTTCCCATTAGAACAAATTTTCGAAGTCAGAGAATGAAGAGGTAAGCACAGAATCATGTGTGCAGAGAAGGTCCCTGAGGGAAAGTGTTCTCTGGAGAGGAATCGGTAGATTCTGATGGGAAACCTGCCCATAACCTTCATCTGCATCTGCTCCTGGGGCTTAAGGACAAAATTGGAGAGTAGTGTCCACCCCCTGGTGGTCCAGATCCCGTCCTACAGTGAAGTTTGTGTCTGGGCTCACACTGAGGGCCCCTCACTGTGTCTGTTGCACAGTAATACACGGCTGTGTCCTCGGCTCTCAGGCTGTTCATCTGCAGATACAGCGTGTCCTTGCTGTTGTCTCTGGAGATGGTGAATCGGCCCTCCACGGAGTCTGCGTAGCTTGTGCTACTTCCATCACCGCTAATATCTGCGATCCACTGTAGCCCATTCCCTGGAGCCTGGCAGACCCAGTTCATGTAGGAACTACTGAAGGTGAATCCAAAGGCTGCACAGGAGAGTCTCAGGGACCCCCCAGGCTTCACCAGGTCTCCCCCAGACTCCACCAGCTGCACCTCACACTGGACACCTGTAGATGCAAGACATCCTGGTCAGGAGTCCGTCACACATCCATGGTTTCTTTCACTCATATCCACTCACATCCTCAACGTCTCTTGCTCACCATGAATTACCTTTTAAAAGAGCAACAAGGAAAACCCAGCCAAGCACAAACTCCATTGTGACTTGTCTGTGTCCTGTCCTGAGTACTGATTGGAACACTTGGGAATCCTGGTGTTGGGGCTCCTCTCCCAGCTGCAGAGTCAGGTTTGGGCTGTTTTTAAGCAGCAGATGGAGGGCCCTATTTGCATGTTCTCTTACTATATATTCAGCTTGGGATCCATGTGACCATAGAGGACAATGGCCAGAAGAGATGTGACTGCCATTGTTTTGGGGGCATTGAACACTTTGGAATAGAATATGGTTTTAATTATATAACTTCCCAGAGTATATACTTGGACATGTGCTACTTTCTTTTTACATATTCACACAAGTGTTGTGGGATTGATGTCATGTTATGCCATGATGAAATGGAAACCTACACCCAGAATTTTAGAGGGTTTTGTGAGGTGTCCAGGAGCACACACAGAGTGAGAGTAGCCCCAGTATGTGGCCCTGTGCTCATCCCCACAGGACACACTGTCCCCTGAACCACCTGGAGGACAGAGCGGGCAGGTTGGTGAGGAATGTGGAACCCCTCCTGTAATGGGGATGGGATGACTTTACCTTCTTTATGTTGCCCTGAAATATAGAGAGCATCAGGGTTTGTGCAGGTGTATTTTCTAACATTTCAATGTCTTTGTGTTTCTCCCAAGTCATCTCTGGGATTATTTTTAAGAATTTTGGTGAGTGTGCTTGAACAGAATGAATAGGCAGAGTGTGTGATAGGATAAACATGGGTGTCAGAATCAACATTATCCTGAGTGAACAAATCGATTCTCCATAAAAATTCCTGTATTTTCTCTGGAATTCCTCCTTCCACTTCCCTTCTTCACTATGTACCCACACAACTATGGGCTTTTCTCATGTTACTTAGACTAGTTTCAGTTTTGAAGAATTTATATTGTATGTAATTTTGTTTGTAGGCCTTTTTTTTTTTTTTTTTTTTTTTTTTTTTGCTCTGAACAAATTTTTGAAAATTCAACCATGCTGCTGTCTGTAGCAAGAATCATTTATTTTGAAGCTGCCTCCTTGGCTGGTCAGCTCTGGGCCCATGGTGAGCCAGCTGTGAAGCTGCCTCCTTGGCTGGTCACAGAGGTGGATTGTCGGTCTCCAGGTCGAAGTGTACCAGGCATACTGACTGTCAACATGCCTGCTTATCCCATTAGACAGTGCAGTTGTGTTCTCCAGGTCCAAGGACACATGGAAAGCCTGTTGCCAAGGTGGCCACTTGGCCAAGCCAGGAGCTGAGTTGCTGGTCTCCCAGTCCAGGGGCACACGGTGAGCCTCCTATCTAGGTGTCTGCTTGTCCTAGCCCAGATCTCATTTCCTGGGCTCAAGGTACAAAGGCACACATTTAGCCCACTATCATGGTGCTGCTTAAGCCACCAGACAGCTCAGTTTTTGGTCTTCTGGTCCAAGGGCACTTGGTAAGCCTTTTGTCAAGATGCCCCCTTGGCCAGGCAAAGAGCTGAGCTATTGGTCTCAGGGATCTACGGCATATGGTAAACCACATGTCTAGAGGTCTGCTTGGCTTATCCCAGAGCTCCTTTGTTGGTCTCCATGTCCACGGGCACATAGTGAGCCAGCTGTCCAGGTGCATGCTTAGCCTAGTAGAGTCCTGATGTGTGGCTTCCAGGTCCATGGGCCCATGGTGGACCAGATGTTTGGCAGTTACCCAAGGAGTGAACATAGCATAATTTTATTTTATTGTACTTTTTATTTTAAAAATTATTTTAATTAACATTTATTATTTGCCCCAGGGGTACAGGACTGTGAATCATCAGGCTTACACATTTCACAGCACTCACCATAGCACATACCCTCTCCAATGTCCATAACCCAACCACTCTATCCCTACTCCCA